GGCAACAAGCACCCGGGGTTAAAGACAGATAAGCTGCCAGTGTTTGCAGTTTATTGCCTCAGCGGTAGATAGAGTCCATCAACAACAAATTACAACATTGTGATGCAAGAATGGTGTGTCCTTGGACATTTTTGTCTAACAAACTTAACATTGATATTTTTTAAGTCTAGCTTGAAAGACATGCTCTGGCTTTATGTTTCAAAATCACAAATATAATCAACGAGATGAAAGCTGCAGTTGCAGTTATGATTCTGTAAACTATTAATCACCATAGGCATGATCCTAACTTCCACTCGTATGCTGAAGCAGAGAGAAGAATGACAACATCTATTTGACTGGTGGGGTTAGATTTGGAGCATTCTGCCGTATCTTATTGCTCAGAATGTGTGCATTTTGTTAAGAAAATTGGAAGAAAAGTAGTTCTTCAGTAAGATGGTGACATTCCAGTATACTTTTTTTGCTGTGGTGCCCTGTACAAAGGAAGAATATGGGTGTGGCATTTCTGCTTGTGGCTTTACCCTACCTTGTCAAAAAAGACATTTTGTTTCTTTGAACTTAGAACATTCATGCTTAAAGGTCACAGATAAGTAAACATAAGGTGCATGGCACTGAAACAGTTCACGTTTAAAGGTTACTTGTATAATAAAACTCCTACCTGTTAAAAGAATTGGAAATGACTTCTGCATTTAACCACACCTGCCATCTAGTAACCTTAGCACATATTACAGGTGTCAAGTTTGTCCTGTGATAAGAGAAAGAGATATTTTTTCTATTGAACAACTGTAGTTTCTCCATAAAATCACCTAATCCACTGCCTTACTCTTCTCCTGCCAAAGAGATCTAAGTTTTTTTACTTACACAAAAGTCTTACCCAAAACATCCTTGTCATTTGTTTCTGCACTTGAGGCACGATAATAACATTTTCTCTAGTGTAAAATGTATTTGGATTAGATTCAGGTTAGAGAAGCGCATTGGATGTTCAGATTAGAGAAGGGAGTTAGAAGCTATTGTGCACCAGTAAAACCATGATATAATTGTTACCACAGAAATGTGGTGGGATGATTCTCATAGTTAGAGAGCTGCAATGGATGGCTACAGACCCGTTAGAAGGAATAGGCAAGGAAAGAGAGGTGGTGGGGTATGTTAAAGAGTGCTTTGACTGCCTAGAATTCAATGTTGGACACACCAAGGTGAAATGTTTATGGATAAGGATAAAAGGGGAGGCCAATGAGGCTGATGTTCTAGTGGGAGTCTGCGACAGACCACCCAGCCAAGATAAAGACACTAATAAGACATTCTTTCAATATCTTAGAGATATCTCATGTTCACAAGCTTTTTTTCTCAGGGAGGACTCCAACTTATCAGATGTCTGCTGGAAGTACAACACAGCAGAGAGAGGGCAGTCCAGGAGGTTTCTGGCATGTATGGATGACAAGTTCCTGTTGCAGCTGGTCAGTGAGCCTACCAGGGGTAGACCTACTAGACCTACTGTTTTCAAACAGGAAAGGGCTGGTGGAAGATGTGGCGATCAGAGCTCTCCTTGGCCACAGTGATCATGATATGACAGAATTTTCAATATGCAGTGAATTTGGGAGGGTCATCAGCAAAACCTCCACCTTGGACTTCCGGAGGGCTGACTTTGGACTATTCAGGACCCTGGTTCAGAGAATGCCCTGGGAAGCATCCCTCAAAAACATAGGTATCCAGGAAGGCTGGACTTTAAGAATAAAATAACGATGGTGCAGGAGCAGGCTGTCCCTATGCACCAAAAAACGAGCCAGCAGGAGAGAAGTCCAGCCTGGTTGAGTAGGGAGCTTTTGAAAGAAGTCAGGGAAAAAAGTGTATCAATCGTTTGAACTATTTAACAGCTTTCTTTAAAACACTCTTGCTTCAGGAATCTAAAACTAATGCATCAATCTCCTAAAAATACATTTGTGGTGGTTGTGGGAGTATCACTTGCTTTTTGCCTTTTTATGGCATTGCAGTCTATATTTTCCAGGCTAATAATAAAAGCAAGCATGTTGTTGAGGTTCCAGTGTGTTCAAATGATGTTAAGGTCTAAGGACTGTCATAGGAAGACCAAATGTCACAGGCTTTGTAATAAAAACTCACAAACTGGTGAATTTTTTTGTCTGTATTTGGTGTGTATTATTTTCCTTTCTGCACGTTGGTGCAGCATTTAACCATGTATTTCTTAGGTTGAGATATTTAGTTAGTGTGTAGCTTCAATAAATAAATGGATCTAACTTTTGTTATTTTACTTGAGTTAGTACTTTGGGAAGCTTGGAAACTGAGTATCCAGATTCAGTCGTGGGAGGAATTATTTTAATATTGGAGAATAATGTCAAACACTATGTATATGATCAGCTGTAATAACCACAGATGTCTAACCCAGATACTCTTGATAAAGCTTTGTGGTGCTCTCACTCCTAACTTGGAGGAGATACTGTCTTTGGCTCTTGAATTTATTTCTCTCCACAATTGGAGATTTCTCTCCACATCACCTGCTGTGATGGCAGATGGCCAAATCAAAATCACTGTAAAATGAAAATCATTTTAAGATACAACATACCAGAACAAAATTATTGTCCTGGTTTGGACTGGGATATAGTTTATTTTTTTCCTAGTAGCTGATGCAGTGCTGTGTTTTGGATTTTTCAGTTTCCCTCTCTGCCAGAGAGGAGGTGCACAAGAGGCTGAGAGGGAGCATCGCCAGGACAGCTGATCCAAACTAGTCAAAGGGATATTCCGTACCGTAGAATGTCATGCTCAGTATAGAAACTAGTGGGAGTTGGCCAGGAGGGGCTGATCACTGCTCAGGGACTGGCTGGGCATTGGTCAGCAGGTGGTGAGCAGTTGCATTGTGCATCACTTGTCTTTCTGGAGTTTTATTTCTCTTTTTCTGTTATCTTCATTTTCTTTACGATTATTCCTATCATTAACTATATTTTATGTGAATTATTAAAGTGATTTTTTCTCAGTCCACAAGTTTTAGTTCCTCGTTCACTCCTCCCCCATCCTACCAGGATGAGGAGGAGTGAATGAGGAGCTGTGTGGTTCTTAGCTACTCACTGGGGTTAAATCATGACGAGTATTCATCTAAATCATACAAATTTGTTCCATTCCCTTGGCCATGCTGTAGTGTGATGTAGGTGTCAACCTTTCAGTTAGCCCAGCCTTTCCCAACCTTAAGCAGAACACCATCTAGAAACTTAAATGCAAACCCACATATGAAAATTTTAGATGGAAAAGCAGAAGTCTTTGCAAAGGATGCATCATGGCCCTGTGGCCATCAGGAGTAGAGAAATGATCGTGCTCCTGGACTCAGCACTGGTGAGGCCACACCTTGAGTACTGCAGTCACTTCTGGGCACTGCAGTACAAGAAAGACATTGAGCTGCTTGGATGGGTCTAGAGAAGAGTGACAAAGCTGGTGAGAGGTCTAGAGAACAGGTCTTATGAGGGACAACTGAGGGAACTGGGCTGTTTAGAGAAGAGGAGACTCAGGAGAAAACTTATTGCTCTCTATAACTACATGAAAAGAGGTTGTTGTGAGGTGTTGAGCTCTTCTCCCAAGTAACTAGTGATAGGACAAGAAGTGGGCTCAGGTTACACCAGAGGAGGTTTATATTGGATATTAGGTAAAAAAAAATTTACTGAAAGATTGGTGAAGCATTGGAACACGCTGCCCAGGGAGGTGGTTAAGTCACCACTCTTGGAGGTGTTCAAAAAAGCATGTAGATGTGGCTCTTTAGATGTGGTTTAGTGGTCATGGTGGTGTTTGGTTTATCGTTGGACTTGGTGATTTTAGAGATATTTTCCAACCTTAATGATTCTAGAATTCTATTGTTTGCGAAAAGATAGTGTGCAGATATAAAACATTGAAGGCATAAAATATGTGTTGAAACACAGTGCTTTCTCTTTTTTCTGCATCTGGCAAATGTTGATGTCAGTTCATCACTCTAAAGCAGACTTTCTGCATGGTCTAATTTAAGTAAACACACAAAGTAAAGACAGCCGCAAAGAAGGTAACATTGCTTTACATTTATTTACTAATGCTTACAAAAGTTTTGAATGCTAAAGATTGGATGCTGCTAGAGTATCTTTTGAGATGAATCATAAGACATAGCATGGAATTTTAATGGAAGACAGAAGTTGAGGGGGAAAAAACAGCTTTCTTCTCACATCCTTGTCTCCTCCAGTGGTCTGTTCATGAAATCTTGGATTGCCTGATGTAGGGGTAACCATTTATTAATTGAGGCTTTCAAAGCCGTAATCCACCTAGAAGAAAGGAAAGACCAACAGCTGTCCCTGAACAAGTGTCATGCATGCATGTTTATTTTCTTTGAAATACACTTTTTATAAATGGTGTTTGTACATATGTTATTGTTTGCTGATAGTAACTGGATTGGAGAGAGATAGTAGATGAATTAGTCAACTGTAACAACAACACATCTTCACACTAGTTCTTTTGTTGATTAAATTAAAATCCAAATAATGTAATTAGTAGGCTTTAAACAAGAACTCCCACTGACAGCTGTGGAATTTGTCTGGATTACAGTGAGGGAATTCACCTTCAGAACATGAACCAACATGGTTCAGAACATGGGCCAACTTTCTTTTTTAATTCTCATGGTCATTGTTGGAAGTAAATCACTCGGCAATGAGGAGAGTATACTTTCCATTGTCTATAATGAGTGATACTTTAACTTTTCTGCTTAGTGTAATCACCCACACATCATTGTGAAATGCACCTTATCCAGGTTTCTTTCTGAACCTCTGCAAGGCAGCCTTGCTTTAATTCTAGCAGTGACAATAGCAGAATTGATATTTCATGTATGCCAGCATGTTGTACTGCAGTTCAATGACTAAAACTAAAATTAAAGAGAAATTGGGGGGAATAAGTGAAAAATGAAAAGTCATCTCCAGATATTCCCAAGCTACAGGGTTCCCACTCTTCTAAATCCAGCAAATAAAGTTGAAAAAAAAGTTGAGTTTTACCTTTTGTTTTCATTTACATTCTCTGCACTTAAGTAGAAAGTTTTAAATTCTTCAGAAGGAGGTTTGAGTTCAATTACAGATCTCTTGGAGCCCAGGGACTGTTCACTCACCATATACCCCTGTAAGTAAAGGCCACCTGTACACAATAAAATAACATGCATCATGTATGTTGCAGATACCACTTATGAAATTACTGTGAACTGCAAGCATACCAATAATTCTTGCAAGATGGATTTTCAGATGTCTTATGTTGTGTGTTTTGACACAAGTTGCATAGAATTTACACGTAAAGTATTAAAAAATATGAAAGTTCAGTTTTGGGCTTTTTTGAAAATGGATTTGAAAATAGTGCAGACTATGCTCCCTGTCCAGAAAAAAGATCAGCAGCATATTTTTATTTAGCATTTCATTAAATAAGATTTTTTTTTCTATCTTTTGATATTTTCTTTCCTTTAAAAACCAAAAGGATATAAATTTCCACATAAAAAATGTTACTAATGGTAATAAGGGAGCCAATGTTGAATCCCTTTTTTTTTTTTATGTCGAAATTTGCAGCTTTCGGAAATTGGCCAGATGATACCCTGATCTGGTATGGGGAGAGTGAGTTGATAAATAGCACCTCAAACTGCAAATGGCCGTGGCCACACTCTGGAGCACCAGCCTTCACTGGAGTAGGGAAGTTCTGCCTGTTGATGGGTGGACTAGCTTTGCCAAAGGCCACCTGAAACCCTGATAGTGGCAAAGAAGCCTGTCTGAGTTGATGTTTTACTCCCCTCAAAGTATGCAGGAGTCAGCAGCTTTCAGCAGACTGCAGTAGTTGAGAGTAGCTCAACCCACTGTAGAGTGTTTTGGAAGGGTGGGTCTTGACACTGATACTCACTCCTGAGGCATTGTACATGGAGCCAGACTAGTCCATTTCCAAAAAGAAAAATTCAGATCACAGGAGGAATAAGAAAGATGATGGGGAAGAATGAGGTGGCTATTTTATGAAAAGAGATTGAGCTTGGTCTTCCTTCACTCATCTTCACAGAATAGAGTGAATTTTCTGATAAGAAACTCTCATTAATGGTTAAAGTTCTATTTAGAAACTCCAGTGAAACATTTCTGCTTTAACAATCAATTAGAATCCAGCAGCCATCCCTACCTTGGGCAGGTGTAGACCGCAGAGTGGCATAAAAGTACAAACAGCCATCCTTCAGAACACAGTAGTGCTGAATCCAGATGTCTTTGCTTCTATCCAGCTGATGGAGAAGCCCCAGGCACTCCGGGTTTTTGATAGCCAAGGGTGGAAGTGTAGTGTTATGCAGCGTGACATCTACCCACACATGGTTCTGTAAAGTAAGCATGTAATGAAAAGTTCTTGTAAGAAATTGAGGAGGACCTGATAGTAAGAAAAGACACAAGCTCTAATCTTCTGCTAGGCAATTAGCTTTTGTTGTGAAAATAATTTGAAACATCAATGCCAAAAATGCTGTTAGAAAAAAGTACATTTGATAGTAAATAGTGACTGACTTCTACTTACAATAATAACTTGTCTTTTCTGCATCTATTTATCAGTATAATTTTTGCTAGTAGAAACAGGATTATTTCAGAGCTGTATGAAGATGTTTGATTTTAAAAAATCATCTTGCTGATTGCCTGAGTTCTGCAGCCTTTACTGTGTGTAATCTGGCAAGACAAACTTCATTATCCGCCCCCTGGGTTTCAGAGAAAATATAGTGACTGAAGCCAGAATACAGAGCAATAGAATGGGAAAACTGTCACACACGAAATATTCACAGATGTCTTCCCATTGCTTTCTGGAAAGCAGTTTCTTTCATTACTAAAACTATCCCATTGCCATTTACAGGTCAAGAAAAAGCTCAACCCACTGCCATTACATAAGCTAATTGTATGATAAGAGAATCCAAAAATAAAATCAGGAATAAATAAACTGTTGTTTAACAACAGCAGTGAGTAGCCTATCCTAGGAGGTTTTGCATATCTGCAATACATATTTCAAACTCTTCATCAATCAGTGTCATTGCCATTTGAAATCTGTGGGGAAAATGTGTGCAATATCAATAGCATGCTGTTTGTTTCCACAAGGATTTTCTGTTGCATTTATTTATGATATTTCTTTAATAACCTTGACAAGGCAATGATGGAAAAAAGACCTGGAATAATATAGCTAACTGTATTCCTCATTATGAATGAGAAACCTGCTGAGACTTATTGCAGGGAAGTGCAGAAGAGGGCTTTGGTAATGCTAGGTGTATTCATAGTTATCCTTGTAGTTTCATTAATACAACGTAGTGTCAGTACATTGATCTTTTATATCACTGTGTTGTGAGGCCTACTGCGACATATTAGCTGTTGCAAATAGTAACAAATAGTACAGCAAATGTAAAAGAAGGGAAATATAAGATTTTTCTAGTCAACTGAATGGAAAGCCCATTTAGAAGGAAGAAACAGATACAGTGTTCTTTAAGAACAGGGGTTAGGCAAACATTTCTTTCAGAAAATGATATGGTTTACTCCAAGACCAAATTAAAACAGATAAAGTCATCAAAAATAGGATGCAGTAGCACTGAAATGAGACAACTTACCATGCTGTCAATGACTGAACATGGGAGATCTTTCTATATATGTAATGTTGGAACTTTTTGTCCAAAAACTTATATTTGCATGTTGCATGAACAAGTAACTCTTTTAATGTGTTTTCTTTAATGCGTGTGTGCCTTTATCCTTCTTTTTGTCTCAGGCATTTTTTATTTCTTTTGGCTAGGATACATACTTTAAATTCTTTGATTTAGTTTTTGCTGTTTTCAAGTATGTGGATGCCTTTGTATTCTTTTAGGGAACACTGCCAGGTAGAAACAAATTTGGTTTTGAACTTACAGACTTATTTGAAAGATGAAACCAAAAGAAATGTATGTTTGATTAATTTTATTTCAGTGCAAAAAGAATTAAAGAAACAATAATACTTCCTTTCACTGTTTGGGAATACATCACTAAAGCACACTGCTGAAGGAGTCACTCACGTGAGTTGCGAGAAAGAGGATTTTTTGTTTAATTTTGGTTTTGTTTTTTTTTAACTCCAGTAATGAAGATTATACTTTGTACCTTGCAATTTTTCTATTTTTTAGTAAGGATTTTATTTCATATGCAGAATAGGTAGACTCTGCACTTGAACCTTACATTCTTTCTGCTAAAGCCCAACCTGATTCAGTAGCTAAACCTTTTTAAAAAAGAGATTTTACAGGTAACAAGAATTTTTTATGAAACTGGTCTGCCTATAGGAGGAAAGAATGAGAATCATGGGGCCAGGAAAGAGCAGGCTAAAGTGGATTTGACCATTATGCTTCCACTCCTGGAAGTCCTAAAACTAGCTTTGCACTTCCCAGTTCAGGGGTCAACCAGCAACTGTTCATACTAAATTATGTCAGGCTGAACAACAACCCTCTCCAGCAGCTCAAGATCAATTATGGCTATATTTCTCCCAGACATTGGTGCCAGCAGAGAATATAATTCTACAAAGACATAGAGGGATCAGCTAACTTACCTTTCTTCATCTCTGAAAATACAGAAAAGAACAACTCAGCAAAAACATCCATCTCCCCAACATTTTGTAAGAAAAAGCAGCCAGCTTGCAATCAAGATAGAAGTGCAGGGAATACTTAAGAAGATATAGCCCCTCTCTCCTTTTACTCCAAATAGTATTACCTAGGGCAGAATCAGTAGCTGTGGCAGTTGTGTCTCATCTCCCTTCCCACTACGCTCATTTTAGGTTATGTTTCTGAAACAGCATAAAGCTGATGATATCTGGAGAGGAAGCATTTAGATTATTTCCACTACATGGCAGCAAACCACGTTTGCTGAGTCATGATAGTGCCTGTACATGGCTTTTATTTTGGAGCTGATTCACATCCCAGCAGCCTGGAACAAAAGTATGAAGCTTCCATGTTGCTGTCTGCACCTGACCATGTACAAATACATCTACTGTCTCTCGGTGTTCTGCTTTAATCTGCTATACACATGCTTTGCACATAAGTAAAGCACTACCTGATGGACAGGATGTGCTGCTTTATCCATAGCCTCCAGCCACCTACAACAGGACGAAAAAAAATGAGAATAGTTTAGATTTGTAGAGCAGAAAAAATATGCTTCACTGCCTCTTTTAACTCTTGCTGACATAAATAGCATCTAAAGGGATATGCAATTTTCAGGATACATTCAAGGCTTTAAGGTAGAAAATTACTGGATTAAATCTAAATAAACATCACTAACTCTCAGAAAAATATGTCTCAAAACTTGCTGTGTAACACATTGTAATAAGACAAGGCAATATTGCAGACAAGGGAATATATGTATTTTTAATATAGTTCAATGTGTCAGGCTAAATAGTCACTTTTCTTGGTGTCTTTGTTATAATGTAGACAAAAAATTCGTGGGAAACTAATCTTGAAATTGGGGACTACAGAATAAAGCAAGCTGTTTGTTGGCAAAATTATTCTTTTTGCACTACAGACAGCATAGAATGTGAAAGTGAAAACTGCTCTGATATTACAATTGTGGGTGCCATATTAAGTAGCAAGGTGTTATAAAATAATAGATAGATGAATACCAAATGTCATCTTACTTCATTGCTTTGTATGTAGATAATTCAAAATGAAACAAGCAGGACAATAAGAATAATTTTAGTACATTTTGAAATCAAAGACTAAAAAGATATTACTTGTGTTTTGGGTGATCTTAGTCTCTTTGTTAGCTATGGTCTTTGGGAAGTGCAAAAATAGTATTTTTTGGGTCTAACTCCAAGTCAAACCCAAACTCATTGCCTTTTATCATAACCAACATGCTTTTGTGGCATAATTGCATTTTAAAATACTTAAATGATAATATACCAGAATGACAGAAGAAGAAATGTAAAATAGGATTGTGTTTATAAATAGTACTGTTCTTTTTTGGTTATAAGAGAGTTCATAGAATCATAGAATCTCACAGGATCATAGAATCATAGAATCGTAGAATCATAGACTCATAGAATAGAAGGAAGTCACCTTAAAGATCGCCTAGTTCCCAAGCCTCCTGCCATGGGCAGGGACACCTCCCACCAGACGAGGTTGCTCAGAGCCCCATCCAGCCTGATATCGAACATTTCTAGGGATGAGGCATCCACGACTTCCCTGGGCAACCCGTTCCAGTGTCTCACCACCCTCATAGTAAAAAACTTCTTCCTAATGTCATGATATGCCTTTATAAAAAGGCCCTCCCCAGCTTTACTGTAGACCCCCTTCAGGTACTGCAAGGCCACTATGAGGTCTCTCCAGAGCCTTCTCTTCTCCAGATCATTCATATGGAATGGCTGACAAGCAAGTTTACATCCACAGGAAGATTTAAAGACTTTATGGGAAAAAATTCTCATAAAAGAACTATGAAGTTGAAAAATAATTTTTGAAACTTCTGCAAATGAAAACTAGAAACACAGTCTTCCGATAAGTAGCTAACAAAATGGAGTTTTATTCTACTGATCAAGGCATTGTGAACATCCTCCAAAAATTTGCTCTCTCTCCCCAAACCAGAATGACAAAACTGACCCCATAAAAAACAAGATCACTTACCTCTTCATTTCTTGGTTGGAAGTTGCACAGAAGTAGAAAACCCTATTTCCAGTTTGAGGTATGCATTTAAAAACAAATGGTTTACCCAGATTAGTGTCAACACCAATTTCTGCTCCTTCGAGCTTTGTTACTTCCAGGGGTCTGCATTTCCCTTCATCCTACAATTAGAGAGAAAGAGTGCCCAAGTTCAGTACTAATATGAAACCAGTCTCTGTGAAACGGAGATAAACTCAGGGAATACTCAGAAGTGTAGAAGTTGGTGATACACTTTTATACTTTTAAAGCATAGGATCATAGAATCATGGATTATTCACCAACAACCCCAGAAAATACAGTGCAGACATAGAAGATAAACTAGTCAAACACCCACTAAATTTGCATTCTCTCTCTCTTGTTTTTACTTCATCAGAATTTGCAGAAACCTTGCTAGGTATTTGTAAGTATTCCAACCTTTGGGAGTGCTACTGAGAGTAGGATTTTCAAAGTGCACCAAAGAATATAAAACATGAGACTCTTTATTAAGCAATGCTGCCTGCAGTCTGGGTTTATGCTGCAAACCTCACCTTACATGTGCAGATAGAGGGAACAAAGGCTTACATTCAATAGAAAATAGTAAGCATAGTTTATGAAGCTGGTTTTCAGTTCCTTCACAAAGTTGACCTAAATATCATTATACTCATAACTCGTCCCATTCATTTGATACAACTTTCAATGGAAAGCATTTCAAAACTTTTTGTACCATATTGTTCCTGACTGAGTTAAAGCTCTTTGAGGCTGAAAGGCATCATCAGTGTCTTTCTCTGTGGTTAGATCTAAGAAGCCACTAAGCTCCTTAAGTTAAGTAGGTAAGTGAAACATTTGCTGCCTCGACTTTCCCAGCCCATCTCCCCTCAAGTCTATATCTTAACTAAAACGAAGATGCACATATCTGGACAGTGAACTCTAGCTATGTTTTAAAAAATACTCTTAGCCACCTTGCTTTGAAGAGTTGTGACTGGAGCTCTAACAATTCCATCAAATTTAGCAGTGATAAAATTGAAAACATGAGTTAATGCTGGGAAATATGGAGAGTGTTAGTGTCATTTGCATAAATCAGAGATGATGAAGTCACATAGAAGAAAATCATTTAATTATTGTGAGTTACTTAAAATTTGTCAGGAGCTGAATTGTAAATGCTCCATATAACTTTTATATTATCCTAATAACAGGCATATGTATCCTTCCATGACCTAAATATGGACCTGGAGGTATTAGTTAAACACTTGCTTATATGCACATGTAATTACCCCTTTGTTATACATTAATTATCTGTAGGAACAAAATAACCCCTAATACTGAAAAACAGTGTAAACTTTCATGAATATATTTCCTAGATTCTCCTGATTTCTTAATTTTTAATTTTTATTTTTAAATGCAAAACTAAAGTCAGTGCAGAAGATGAAGGCAATTGTGAAAGCCGTCAGTGCTGTATGACTTACTTTACGTATAATGCCTCGAGACATAATACTGCATAACCAAAATATTTATTCAGGCCTAACCCATTCTGTCTGCAGGTTAGGGCTGGGCTGGCCGCTCAACGCAGACAGATGCTCTCTAACTCTCTCTCCCTCTCCAAACGAGAAGGAAAAAGGAAGGAGGCAGAAAGACTTATGGATTGGAAAAAAGAAAATTAAAACAGCTTTAATGAATAAGGAAATAATATAAATAGTGAACTATATACATATATAAATCTCATATCAAACCCAAATCCCTTGCCCTGATAGCAATCCCACTGATGCTGCAGAGCAGGTGGCCCTGGGGAAGCCCCTGGCTCAGCAGCGGCGGGAGCTGGATACAGGGAGCTGGATTCGGGAACTTGGGATTGGTATCAAAGGCAGAAGATCAGATGGAGTCCTCCCTCGATGCTGGCCATTGCAGAAGAGGAAAAAGAAGAAGAACTAAACTCTGATGATCTCTTGGTTTCAAACTGAATATGATGTATATGGAATAGAATACTCTTGTTGGTCACCTGTCCTATCTGTAACTCACCAGAAGCACCACATTTTACTTCCTTGTGACCCCTCTTACTGCCTGGCAACCCCAGCGTGGCACGCAGGAACCATCAGTGGCCTTGGTCACTACAGAAATAAGTGTAAGCAAGAGCCTTTCTGCATCCCAGTCCCAGGCAGTGACTGCAAACATCAGCTGTTATCACTGCCAGTAGCACACACTGTCTGCAAAAACATACTGCTGACTTCAGAAAGTGCAGCCTTTAAGAAGAGACTGAACTGAAAAGTAAAAATCACTGAACAGAATTGGTTCTGTTTAGCTCAAACCAGGACACTTAATTTTTAATTTTTATTTTTAAATGCAAAACTAAAATCAGTGCAGAAGATGAAGGCAATCCTGAAAGCCACCACTGCTGTATGACCTACTTTACTTATAGTGCCTTGAATCATAAAACTGCATTGTAAAGACATAACCAAAATATGTATTCAGGCCTAAAATATCATTCCTAGTGTAAAGAATAATAAGTGCTAGGTTGATGAAGGTTTCTGTCCATGGTCTGGGTTCTGCTGACTGTCCTACCCTGAAAGCAACAGTTACTGAAAATACTGAAAGGGCTGTGTGACCACTAATATGGCATATCCTTATAAACTCCTCTGAACACTTTCTCTGCTGTCTAGAAGAATGCAGTTAGAGCACGGTGGTATCAAGAATGATTTACGACCATCCCATTTCAAATGAATACATCTAGGAAAGGAATAAGATGGATTTTAGGCATTCAAAGTGAGACAAAATGTCCTTCACTGACTAATAGATAGCCATGCTCCCTTAAGTCTGATAAGCCAGAAGTAAAGGGGATTTCTTTTTACTCATGTGACTTTCGTGAATAATGTCTTGAGAACATTCCTTTGGCAAAACTATGAGAGACTTAAATAAGCTAAAAATAAGAATAGAAAAGTAGACATCTCCTTCCTTTATTATATGAAAAGGTCATTAAGGTAGTGTATATAGGCTGGGAGGGTTCACAAATCATCACAATTTAATTTGACGTAACATCTTCCAGAAAATAAATGATGTTTATAACATGTCCTGAATGTTTCACTGTGTTCAAAGAATTTTGAGCTAAGTAAGATTTGCTGTTCTATTTAGGCTTCTTTGTCAATTAGAAAGGAGAAGCTGAAAAGATCCATGAACATTTCATACTGTTTACAGTGAAAGAAATCAAAATCAACAACAGGAATAACTATGAAAAGAAATTAAAATGAAGCTACAAAAGTAACTGCAAGTACTAGAAAAATGGAATAAAAGTAACTAAATCTAAACCACGACGCGAAAACTGGGCAGTGCTAGAAAGCAGATACGAAAGACGGGTTGGTTAAGGAGACTGACAGTGGAAAGTGTAAGGTAGTCACCCCTGGGTCACTGGTTCCGATTGGTTTCAGATTAGTAACGCCATGACATAATTTTTTGTTGTCTTCCTGGATGTGCCCTTGTGTTTTTAAACTATGCATCTTTTAAATGAGATGGAAGAAAGAATTATTTTTTCTTTTTGCTTCTTATTTCTCATTTGCCCAACAAATTATGTGGCCATAACTCTGCCTAGCACTCAGGCTTTACCCCATCTGTTATTTTCAGTTATTCTCTGAACTGCTTCTCCTTGAGGTCTGGTACTGCTTGCTTAGTAGTATCTCCTTAGTAGTTTTCCTCTCTCTCTCTTCCTTTAAAAAAAAATAGAAATCACTCTGCTTTGTAATAGGCTCATTTCTCAGACATTTAAGAAACTATAGCTGGAGCATCTTTGCATTTCTACTCTGGGCTGGGCACATTGGTGCAGAGGAGAGACTAACACTTTTACATCTTTTTCCCTTACACCTTTTCCCTTCTGCTTTGACTTGCACATAGTGAACAGAGCTCTAGATTCCACAACTGTTCATATGGCATTTTTTGCAGTAGAGCTCAATTCATTCAGTTTTTCATTTTGTTTTGCTTTAAACAATTTGCATCTAAGCTAAAGAGAGTAAAAACACACTGAAGAGCAAGACAACAGGAGAAAAAAGATACTAAAGCTCCTCTAGTTTAGAGAACCTGATTATCATACACTTAACTGCATTGCCTGTCAGGTGAAACACAATCAAGTGATCTTGTGATATGTATAATCTTCACATTCCATTTGGTTCTTTGGTTGAGATTGAGTAATTTGCTGTAATTAATTGCACCAAAGGTAATGAACAGTTTGCAGGACCAAGCCTCAATGGAAGAACTACTGATTGGGTTAAATTTTTGAACAACTTGAAGCCAGTCCAGTAATATAACTGATTATGACTCCTTCTCTGGGTCAGGCTATGCAAACTGTAAGCAGGTGAACATTAACTTAGCAGCCAGTATTATTTCTTATTTATTAATAGAGATAATACAATAGAAGTACTAGAGAGCTTGGATGCAGGAGCTCCTTAAATGTAAGTTGAAAAATATATCCTAGAGCCATTGTAGTCATGAAAAGTACAGAAAAGAAATCAGATTCTATACTAGCTCTAAATAATGTGGCAGCTCCCAGACTATGATGATAAAGTTCCAAGCAAGGATGAAGAACAAATAGAAGCAGTATCTTTATGAGTAATGGCTCAAACTTAAATCTATTTATAGTTAAGCCTTTTATATAAAGTGCTTAGGCTTAGCAATGAACACAGGCTTGCTCAAGAGAACAAAGGAGTGAACATTTGTCATAGATTGAAATGATGTGAACGGTCCACACATGGCAGGCAGGGGATTTTTTCTTGGCATAATAATTGGACTCTGTATATAGCACAGAAATTAAAATAATTTAAAAGCATTTTTTTTGGTCTCTGTTCTACTGCAAATAGTCTTAGGGATGTACACAAACAACCAGAAGCATGAGTAACAAAATGTTTGTAAATACACTTCCTGTAAAATGTCCTGTTCCTATACACAGGGAAGACAATTACAGAAAGAAAAGGCAACATTTAAGTCTATATTTGAATTTCCTCTATGTATTTACGAAGGGCTTTCACTTGTTCTGTGAGTGCTGGGTGCAAAGTATCACCCTTTCACCCCTGAGGTGAATAAATGTAGATGGAAGACGGGTATCCAGTTGATTATATATGGAGTGTAAATGCTACTACTGAATCTTATTTGGAATAAAAAGAAATACTAA